TTGGAGTTAAGCTTGTAGTTGGACCCTCGCAAAGTCTAGCAAACACTCACTGTACTATTAACATCTATATATATATATTATACTCTATATTACTCTCTTCATTTGTATTCATGAGTGATCAGTGATATGATCCTCTTAGACTTACCATTCTGATGCCCTCTCTAGGTTCTGACCGACCCCTTGCGGTGGTCCATCGTGTCGCTGCCGTGCCGATCGACCGGCCTCCCGTAGGGCCCGCATGGCTGAGTAGCCGGCGTAGCTGCCCACGGCCATGGCCACGGCCTCGGGCACGACACGACGAGTTCAGGGCGCTATTTACGACGAATGTGGTAGATGAAGATGGAGCGTCGCTCACCACAAGCCCTGGGCGCATTGAACACTAAGCAGTTTGCTTCACACAATGCTGCATTCTCCACTTTGACATTCAATGTCCGGGGATGTGACTGCTAATGAACCGGATCAAACACTTGAACCAACCCTCTGCAAATTTGACAGTTATGATTAATGTGTGTGTTTTAATGGTGTTCTGGCAATCGTTGTTGATTGGGATGGTGACATAGTCAAGCTGACTGCAAATATAGTGTCTATGGCACAATTAGAAAGCGCATTGAACAGAATCATTCAGGCCACCTATTAGATCATTGTAGCACCGACGTTTCTGAGCAATGATTGGAAATTCACAAAAAGGTCAAAACAGCCGAATTTCCATTCATGCCTTGCATCTGCATCCAACCTGGTCAACCCCCTCTGGGGTATACAATTGTCAATATCATAAGTTAGCAAACTATATATAAAGGATGAATTATAGTATCTATAGCACCAGCTGCTGAATCAATCGCGTCAAACGACCGCTTCACTATGACTAGGCCCCCCTGGCCCGGATGTCGATGACGAAATCCAATGGCAACTTGGTCGGCAAGAACAAATATCGGGTGGAGGAAATGCCAGTGTTTAAATGACCACCAAGTCTCTGAGGAAAAACAACCCAAACCTATCAAAACCTTTGATGATGTGGGACCTAGTGTGAAGTTTTCAGAGTCAAGGCCTGCTAGGTCTAGCTGCTAGGCCTTAAGTCCTGGGTGACCATTTCTGAACAACGAATATCGTAAATCTGTGAAGTCCTGTTGGCTTTCTTTCGCTCACGCTCACGCACGCCGGCCGCATCCGGCTCCCGGCTCGTGGTCCCAGCCCATAAGCAGCACCTGCAGTCAACTACACCAGCGATGTCCCATGAGGGGGGCCCTTTGAGATCTTTGAGACGGTTTGGCAGTTTTTCCACCAGCAGCTCAAAGGATATCAAATTCTTCATGCTTTGCCGGCTCTGCCCATCCCCATAGGTTGGAGGACCACACTCTCGCGGCCACCAAGCTCAGCTGCTGACATGCCGACTCGAACTTGTGTCGGTGCAAATGCACCAGGAAGCGTACACTGTCGACTACCTCGAGGATAAGCAGCTGGAGCGACAATGATGTTTAGAACAGTTCAATGAATACTAACTTATGAATTTGTTATATTATGAACTTGTTTATGCAATGAGAAAAGTGTCAATGGGTTGGGGCTTGTTGTTTGGAACACATTAGCTTCCTTACTGGACACAAAACTTTTGGGATGCTACATTGGCACTCTAATAGACTCTAATCTTCCAGCTGCACCGGCTTCAATCCAACAATGTTGACAGTTGTTATAGTAAACAAAGGTGGCTACATCTGCGATGAATAACTTCGCATCCACCAATAACGTGCTGAACAAGATGCTTCAGTACAACAAACATTGTCCAAGAAGAGTGTCTTTGGTCCAACAGTGAAACGGCCAGCAGCAAACATGAGTGAACGTAACATTCACAAATTCTTGTTCATGGCCGGTGGCTTTTGTTAGTCCCCTTATTGACTGGTCATGATTCCTTGGAGATCGTCGAAACACTCAATCTAGGAGATCGTCGACAGCTCCGGACCCCGGGAATGTGCATGTCATCTCTTAAACCATCCAGGTTATCAATCGATATATCAAACCAGTCTCTTGAAAACAAGTCTCTTGATATCAATCCAGGTGATCGCCAGGTGTCGCACGAAGAAAACCATGCCCAAGGCACGCCCTTGCTCTGCAAGCAATCCTTGAGCGCAGCGACCTGCACAGGGTAGTCGGCGACCATGGATTGACTCGTGTCTCCACATACCCCGTGGTAATGTCAAGCTAGGATCAATCAGCCACACATACTCCGAGGCTGGCAGAAATTAAAAAAAGACACGTCATTCTTCATTCGCCTGTTCGGCAAGAACATCCCAGAGCCACATTTTGCCTGCTCCTTGCAGCTCTCCACATCTTGACGCAGGGCGGCGATCAAGCCCTGGCAACAGCAGTTGTACGGTGGCCAGGGTTCCTCGCAAATACAGCACACCAATTCAACAAGACACCTCCGATCCTCCAATGCTGCAGAAATCTTGTTGTACCTTGTGGGTGTGGCTGGACAGTTGCCACGCATATACAAGTGGAATGTGATGTCCAAAAAGCGTTGACCAGAAACACCCGTCGGCAGGATGTTGCGGTGTCAGTTCTTTCCTTCCTCGCCTGCTGGTGGATCATCTCATGGCTGAGGTGATGGAGCCTCTCCTGGAACCCCACAGATGCCCACGACTGTTCTGGAGCATTAGTAACAAGTGCCATGCTAGTAGTAGCAAGTGCCTTACTAGCAGTAACAAGTGCCTTACTAGTAGTAACAAGAAGCTATAAACATATTTCATCACTCATGCACTCACCTAGTATTCGGCGATCACATGGGCTGCTCGAATTTGTCTCCAAGTTTCGGCGTCACGACACGTCGATGGCTACCAGGCCCGGTATACATAATGTTCCGAGAGTGTGACGGTATTGCCGGTGCTTGCTAATGTACCCGAAATCACCACTCAGAAACTAGTAACTTGTTTCCTGTTCTGCATGTGCCAACACCATGTGTATGTGGGACGTCTGGTTGCCATACGAGAAGGTTGTCTCATTCAAGACTGAACAACTGCCATCAGCTGCCGCTTCCGATCCTCTGTGTTGTCCATGGCGACCTCCATGGGAACAGCTCAAATGCTTCACCTCCCTCAGCCCCGCGTCTCACGGAATTCTTCAACCTGGCTCAGCCTGCAGCTTGTGGTCGTGAGGCTTGTCTGCCATCCCCCAAACAAATACGCTCTATATTATGATATTTTTGACTTGCCAATCTGCCAATCTTGATACTTCCTAGCCCATGTTGGCAGCACTTGTGGCTACTTGCCTCGCTCCCGAGAAAGGATCAGTTCCCTTGTTTTACTTGACACAAGAGCATTCCAGTCCAAGTTGTGCATGTCAAGGGGCTCATGTGCAAAGTAAGACGGTACAGTAACTCTCATATTGTACAGTCCTATCCAAAGTAGGTGCTGGATATACTATTGCTGCAAAATGGCTGCATGAATGAAGGTTTCTTCCAACATAATCATTGCAACACTGCGATGCTTCCTTGAATTAACATCCCGAACGAACTAAATTGAGGAAATATACATCCGAATCCATACCCAGGATTTTCGCTACCTGTAGTTGTGAGTTCAAAATGAGGCAGCCTTGGGATGTCTCCCAAAGTTCACAAAGGCTGGGCCAAGAAATGTGAACAAAAATATAGTCACAGTCATCATAAATCACGGCCAAACAACACCTTGAGAAACTGTATGGTGCGTGACTTTCAATATCAATTATATACTTCCGCAAGGAACGACGGATCTCCTTGCAGCCGCCCGTCGTCAGCTCTGTTTTGCTTCTAATGACCTCGTCGTCGTCTCGGGCACACCGAGCAATCCTATGTCAAGCAGCGGGGACAAGCCATGGACTTGGTGTCTATCATCTTGATCTTTCGTACCAACAGGGATCGAGATCGTATACCAAAACAATTGTTGGGGAATGCAACACCTCACCTGACCCAAAGTGCGTTCAATATTCAAGTCCAGGAGATCTTTGTTTGCTTTAAAGAAGTGCGCAATAGCCGCGGTGAATGATGAATGCCAATGGACTGAACTCTTGCCAACCATGCCATGCAAGTGCGTGTCTGGACATATCGATTCTGAACACACGGTTGAGTACAAACCAGACTTACATTACGCATGTCTCCAAAATCTACCCAACATTCAACAGCAATCGACCCTTGTTTTCTTAGTAATGGCCGAACCAGTTCCTCCTCTGAGCTTGGATGGCTTCCATCCCCAGCCTCATTCGGCTTGCCGACTTAGCTTCGTTACAAACGTCTCCCCTGGCCACTTTGGACCACTTTTGGAGCTCCGTGGGGTTGCTCCAGCGGAGAGTTCACATGTGGGCAACTTGCCCTCACTGGTCATCAAATTACATTGTACTAGTAGCCGCTATAGCCAGTCTACTAGCCTTTTGATGTCTTTTGATAATCCCTTATCAGATCTGGGATCATCCGCTCTCCCCGGTGGTGCACCCACTCACACTCTTTGGTATGATGGATTGATGGTTCGGTGCCCTGAGCAAGCCTCAATGCTGGCACCGAAGATTCGTTAACTCCCATCTCCAAGTGCCATTGTAAGGATGAATAACAAATAGACATTTAAATGTAAGTGTTCACTTTTAACTCACAATAGTATACAATAAGTATATTACACATTGTGCTGATCAAATTGTCTGTACAAAAAAAACAATCAACGGCCATTCAGATCATATAAATTCTCTAGTCATTCAAATTATGTTATATATACCGCCGGACTGAAAGTTAACAAGAATCTACTAGGGGCTCCTGGCATCCCTACTAGGAGCGATCGGACGCTACGTTCAGGGCTCCTGGCCTTACTACTAGGAACAAGAAGCTACTAGTAACAAGTGCATCGCTACTAGTAGCAAGAGTGTCTGCTGCATGTACCTAGAAGCTAGTAGAAACAAGTGCCACGCTACTAGGAACAGGTGCCTTACTAGTAGTAACAATGTTTGCTATTAGAGACAAGTGCATCGCTACTACCTTTTAGTGTTTTGCCTTTCGGAGTTCATCTTGGCACTTGCAGACTGCGACGGGTTATCGCACTCGCGGGCAACATTGGCCCGGTGCAAAAACATGGCGCAAGTCCACAGTGATTCTCCGGTTGAAGCAACTCTAAGCTTCGCTTTGAGCTACTCTCGCGCAATTTTCACCGCTACTCTCCGCAATTTCACGTAGTTCTACGCCTCTCGAAGACCCCAACAACACACTAAGTCTGTGCATCTGCCCTGCAGCTCTTTCTGGGCGCCTCTTGAGCTGCTCAGTCCCACCCCGGGCTGCATGAACGCGGTCGTGGCAACTGGCCAAGAAGCTGAGTCTTCCGGTCGGATAGAATGAAAACATTGTCCAAATGAGCATCTTTTCTGATGACTTGGTCTTTTCATCGATGTTGAAGCACCAAGAACAAACGACACAGAAACAAAAACTGACATGAGGCGCCGTCAAAACTTCTTGTCTAAGGCCAGTAGCAAAAGTTGAGGGTATCGCTTTTTGGTGGGACCCATATCGCTTTACATAGTTCGGCGCCAAAAACAGAAATTCAACAACAAGTGCTGGACCTTTATGTATGAAAGCACAATGTGGTTGATGTCAACTTCCAGCAGTCAAACAAGGCCGTGCATGCTTTTTCTTCGCGACACTCGAAAGTTTGCAGCTTCACCGTCTTCCTCTGAACTGGTGGTGCTGGTGCTGCTGGAGCTACTGGAGCTGGAAGCTTCAGCTTCGCCACCTGCTCGGTTGTCTCGTCTTTGTTTTTGTTGACGACGCCGTTCTAGGAAAATTTCCTTTTTCTTGGCTAACTCTTCTGGAGTCAAAGGCGCCCGATGGCGCAGCAGCCACGTATTACCCAGCAAGTGTTGCTGAGCACCTTGCCGCTTTGTGAGCGCAGTTTCCTGGTGTCGGTCTAAAAGCAATGGATTGGCATTCCAACTGCTCTCACCGCTTCCGTAGAAGCCTCGCCGCCAATCACCTGGAGCTTCCCTATCCTCTTCCCAGAGCTGGCTGGTCAAATCTGTGCCGGCATGTTGCGCACTGAACACGTAGTTCGTGACTTTGTCACCCAGGCGCCAAATCTTAGCATTTGCAAGCTGGGAGCCAATGCAATAGGTTCGAGTGATGTGTAGGTCTGTCGCCAATAAACGTTTTCCAGGTGCTGGCTTTGCAGATTCATCGTGGATAACGATGCCTTTTGCAGTGGGATCAGCAGATCTTTGCTTGGCTGACTGCTCTTTGACCAGCTGCACAAGCTCCTGAAGTGAATGAATAGAGGCCCCATTGCGTTGGATCCGTCACGACATGGGCCAGGTATCTATCCAAAGCGTCTCTTTCAGCTTGACTTCTGGGCATGGCAGCAAGTGTAGCGAAATCAGCGTTGAGATGGTTAACAACTTCCTTCTTTGTGGGTCTCTGTCTTGGAAGGGCTACTTCTGCAACAAATGGGTATCGCTAGGTTATCGCTAGGGGTATCGCTAATTATCTTGTATATTGCAAAAAATAAGCTACCAAGAAAACTACACTGAAAGACAGCAGCTGCTGCCTGCTTGAGTTGAGCTACAGTTGTCAAACCTGATGATTTTGCTTGCTCTTGCAGCCGCTCGATCTCACATCTGCTGGCTCGAGAGACAAGACGTGCCACTCGTCGCTTCCCATCATGAAGGCTAAGCACCCATGTACCGGAAAAGGTGCCCCCACGAATACGGGATTCTTCCCAAATCTCAAACTGCGCCATCCTATCTTTGCGCTTCTGAGCCTAGTAACAAATGGCTGCACACAGCACTCAAGATTGCACCTTTGCGTAAGTCGAATCCAAAATCATGAATGTTGTAGGTATCGCTATTTGGTGGAACCCATATCGCTTTGCAGGGTTTTGGCAGCGTTTCATCCACATATCCTTACAAAAACGACCCCTGCTTGCTAAATTGATCTACGTAAGTTTTGACCGTAGCTCACATGTTTAATATATAGTATTTGTCTCCTCTCAGTCTCGGCGGCTCAATGCACTTCGGTCTTCAACAAGTAACAGCCTAACAAGCAACCGGCCCAGCCACGTATGCGACCCGGCATCACGGTTATGGAATATTCACATACCCGCACGCCTCAGCCAGGGACCGGCGCACCGCTGGCGCCTTGCGAAGAAAGTCAAGGCAGGTCAAGGCCAATCAAACATGAGAAATCTTCAAGTTGACTGCTCGACTTCCCGACAGTGCATAAATACCAAAGGGGTGGGTAGGGTGGATAATATTGTTCCATGGTTGATGCGTGCCTGCTGCAAAATGTGCAGGCGGGCCAAAGGATCTGCATATTGTGTAAATAACGTTCAAAGCACTGGCAGAGTTGAAGGGGGGTCAGGCGAGACACTCATTGTTTAAGGGACATTCCAATAATATAATTGGTGACCCATGAAGAGGCTCTCTGTTTATCTCGCCTATGGAAGGGAGGTTGCAAACAAACGTCTAAGCGGCTCATGTGCATATCGCAAAAAGTACATCAGCGTCACCCCGGCTCATTGGTAACGTTGCAAATAATTACAATGCCTCTCCCAAGATCAAGATTTCTTCAAGTAGTCATCAGTAGGCCAATGCAAGAAATCGAAATATTGTACAACGGAACGATAAAGGATACAAGTGCACACATAATAGCGATGGCCTCCAACCTAATAGACATGGCCTCCACCCTGATAGCAATGGCCTCCAACCTAATGGCCATGGCCCCCCAACCTCATATAATATAGCGATGGCCTCCAACCCAATAGCGATGGCCTCTAACCTAAGTCCAGGGCCTCCAACCTAAAAAACGATAGCCTCCAAGAACCTATGTAGTATCAAAGGCCTCCAACCTAACAGCGATGGCCCCTAACCTACTAGCGAAGGCCTCCGGCCTCCAACCTAATAACGCTGGCCTCCAACCTAATAGCAATGGCTTCCAACCTAATAGCGATGGCCTTCAACCTACTAGCGATGGCCTTAAACCTACTAGCGATGGCCTCCAACATAATTGCGATGGCTTCCAACCTATAATAGCCATGGCCTCCAACCTATTAGCTATGGCCTCCAACCTAATAGCGCTGGCCCCCAACCTACTGGCGATGGCCTCCAACTTGCTAGCGATGGCCTCCAACCTAAGTGCGATGGCCTCCAACCCAAGAGCAATTGCCTCCAACCTCGAAGCGATGGCCTCCAACATAGTAGCCATGGCCTCCAACCTACTAGCGATGGCCTCCAGCATCCTCCAACCTATTAATTATATGATCTACTAATATTCTTCTTGTTATTGTTTATTCTGATTTACTTAAATTCTACTTATTGTTTCTAGTAGCTTCTTGTTCCTAGTAGTAAGGCCCTTGCTCCTAGTAGCGATGCACTTGTTCCTAGTAGAAAGAATCCCAACCATAGACGGTCTCACATCGCGTGGCCGCCTCGGCCCAGGAGCCCCGTGCGCCGCTCCGCGCAGAGTCGCGAGGAACAGCTCCGTCGTCTTTGCCTCGCTCGTGGTGATAGTGGAAGGAATGTGACAGCTTTACATGTCAATTAGTGTATACTATTTATGAGCCATGGGTCATTGGGTAATTCTTAAAACTGATCTTGCCTATTCTCCTATGTGTTCTTGCGTTTTGGACCCATCTGTTGTTTCTTTTCCTTCATGATCTTACGCAATATCTCTATGTTCCTTTAGTTGAAGCCATTGGTCGAAGCCAAAAGCCTACACTCCCACTGACTAACATGGAAGTGGAATGCCCCGTGTTCATCCAGAAAGTAGTCTTCCACTTCAATGTTAGTCAAATTTCTGGGTCTACTGGGAGTCTTCTACTTCTGTCAGCTGACCATGACGTGCTGGCAGGGCTTCTATCACTTTTCGTGAATCTTGCCCAAACGACTATCCTGGGCATAGCCAAGTATATTATATTATATGTTATGATATATTATGACACTTCCAAACATATGAACGTCCTTTGCTAAGTATTATGAACAGTACTTGCATGTCTTGTAGAATATCTGGCTTCAAGACTCTTAGAACATCTTAGAATCATGAAATTGTTGTTTGTGCGGTTTCTTGAGGACACCTGAAACATTGCAAAACGCACTGACACATCTTGAATGCTGCTTTACGAGTAGCACTTTCCCTGACTGGAAAAGGCTCTGGGTGCCACGCCAAAGCCACTGACGTTTGCAAACGAATGACCTGACCAACACAAGCTGCAAGTGTGCTCAAACGGCTGATAAAGTTCAAGGACATCATCATAACAGGTGGCATGTCACAAGGTGTTTCTTAAAAACATAATATATGATCTCCAATGACGCAAAGTCCATCAACGCACGAAGCGTTGTGAAATCATGATTTCTGGCGTTGGGACTTTCACGATTCCTTGTGGACACACCCATGGCCCACAATTTAAATGACTCACTGGGAGTCCTTAATCGAGGACAAGGATGAACGGACAAAAGTTTATCGTTGTGTGGGTTCTAAGCAAATGGGTACAGAAGAAGATATAGCATAAAGTTCCAAACGCAGGCAGCGTCACTTTCAAGATCTTTCAAGTGTCTAGACAAAGTGGACCACATTCCATTTCCGAGAGCCGTGAGCCCCGGGGTGGCCCTGGTCATTATGGCATTTCTTGGACTTAAACATGAGGTTTGCATGTAGATCAGCCTCCCATGGTCAAGCAATGTGGCCAAAACAAGACAGTGCAAAGGAAACATGAACCAAACCTATACTTGTGCTCCGACCCAAATCCACAGCTGTTTGGACCCACCTGGTCCCATGCCATCATCTTCTTCCTCTTTGGCTTGCTGCTCCCGCGCATGCTGGATCTGGAAGGCATGAAGGGTCAGGCTACAAAACTGCTGAAGAAGTGGGATTACACAGTTGAACTGCAGAACTGTCAGGAAAAATGTCTCCGCTCTTTGAGCTTTACACGTTATAGATATAGGGTTGATTGTCAGGATCGTATACCAAATCTCATCATACTAGCGGAGCAGCTCCCAGGGGGCTGTCGGCATCTAACTATTGTGTGCAATGTCTGAATTTGCCAGTGCTCCCCAAGATGCATGTGGCAGGTGCTTAAACCGCCCGGAACAATTCTTCTATGCATAGTCCTGCCATGTTGGATCGTGAACATCGAAATTCTCCGAGCAACAAGGCTTGTAGGCAGCAGGTTGATCTTTTGTTTTGTATGTCTTCAAGGGGGTGACCCCATAACAGCAGGACGCAACCAGCAGTGTTCGAGCTTCTCCCAAAAAGAAACCGCAGAGTGTCACCTTGATCCTACCAACATCCATGTCCTCATGTCATGTCCCTATGCGTATGACCCTACACAACTATCGCAAAGATGGGGAACGTGGGATGTTTATGGTTAGCTGATAAGTCCCATGTATAGATGTAGTATGCTTCACAATGTATGATAGGCTTTAAGAACCTCTCTCATGTTAAATGGTGGGATGGTCAATTTGGACAAGCAGCCATATTGCAACGCCATCCTTAGTGCAGCCCAGGCGCAAAGGCTTTCATGGAGGCGATTTTCACTTCCAGCGCCCTGATTGTTCGACCACAAACAGAACAGTCATGAACAGTCGAACGAATGGGTTGACATGAATTCAGCGACGAAAAACTGCTTGCCTCTTTGGATCTAATTCATTCATGCCGCGACAAGGCGATCCAAACAAACGTGGATTTAGAAGGTGAACTTAGGCGGCTATCCAAGTGTAGGTGCCTTGACCCTCTCACTCCCCCACAAACTTAGACGAAACCGTCTTTGGCTTGCTGACAGCCAAAGAATTTGATCGATTCTGGGAAGCTTGATTCTCAGGTCGGCCTGAATCCGATTATATAACTACTTACCGTGGAGTTGGAAGGGGCTGTTCTTTTGATGTTTGGGGGATCTGAATCTGTGACACACACCCCTAACCACCCCACCTAACCTGTCAAGGCCTCAACCCTTTCGCGCTTGGCCGGCCTGTTTCTCCTAAGCAAATCATCGCAGTACTTCTTTGCCTTGCAACTGAAAATCTGCCAGAGTGCAAGGGAGACCCCTATTTTCCAGTGAGTGTTTCGACTAACAGTTAACATTCAGGTCCTATGCAACATCTTCTGCAATATTGATTCTGAGGCTCTTCCCACACGCCCGTCTGAACCTCTCTGAACCCGTCTTGGAACTTACCGCATCTTACCGCTCAGTGGCTCGTTGGTCTGCCTCTGGAGGTGCTTCGGGCACCTCCGAGGCGGTGGATTTTGTGGACTGCATCGACTTGTTGGAGATCACGCTCATTCGTGACTCGGTCGTGCCCACCTGTGCAGCAAGGCGCCACTCGGTTTGTCGGAGGTTGACCGGAGGAAAGGACCTCTAGAGGAAATTGGTGGAGAGTGCAAGAAGAGGAAACAATAGCGTCAAGAGTTGCAATGTAGTGTAAAAACTCGCAAAAGCATTAGGCTTTGGTTGCAAAGTTTTTCTTCAAATTCTTCATGCTGAATTCGTTCCCCTGGGAACGGAACAAGAAATGCCAAGAGTTGATGAACACCCAGTGTTAGGAACCCATCACAGAGGGGGGTTCTGCAATGCCAAAAAAACACAGGAAATTGCAATGGCCTGCAATGGCTCCCCTGCAGTACTGCTCGGGTCACTCCAAGGTGAAAGGAAAGAGCGGCCAAACAGCAGTACTGCTGGGCTCCAACCCTGCGAGCCACGCCTCCATGGCGTCTGCAGAGTCCAAGACCTCGACCTCCGCAAATGAAAGAGGGAGAAAGAAAAAAGATGGAGCCCACGAACCCGAATGCAAAAACGATCGAAAAGCTACATATGTCCAAATGACACTCTTGTAGGACACTCTTGTAGGACACTCTTGTGGGTCACTCTTATGGGACACTCTTGTCGGACACTCTTGTGGGACACTCTGGTGGGACACTCATACGGGCCACTCTTGTGGGACACTCTTGTAGGACACTCTTGTGGGACACTCTTGTAGGACACTCTTGTGGGACACTCTTGTGGCACACTCTTGTAGGACACTCTTGTGGGACACTCTTAAGGGACATTCTTGTGAGACACTCTTGTGGGACACTGTTGCGGGACACTCTTGTGGGACACTCTTGTGGGACACTCTTGTAGGAAACTCTTGTGGGATACTCTTGTAGGACACTCTTGTGGGACACTCTTGTAGGAAACTCTTGTGGGACACTCTTGTAGGAAACTCTTGTGGGACACTCTTGTAGGACACTCTTGTGGGACACTCTTATAGGACACTCTTATGGGACACTCTTAAGGGACACTCTTGTGAGACAC